CAACTTTTCAGTTTCATTCAGAGTCAATTTCAAGTTCACAGTGAAGGACTCGAGACAACACAAGCTCAACTTCACAGTGAAGGGGCGGCTGACTGTCAACAAATAACTTTTCAGTTTCATTCAGAGTCAATTTCAACTTCACGGCGAAGGATATTGAACTCGAGACAACACAAGCTCAACTTCACAGCTAAGGGGCAACTAACTGTCAACAAACAACTTTTCAGTTTCATTTAGAGTCAATTTCAACTTCACAGCGAAGGATATTGGACTCGAGATAACACAAGCTCAACTTCACAGCGAATGAGCGACTGACTGTCAACAAACAACTTTTCAGTTTCATTTAGAGTCAATTTCAACTTCACAACGAATGATATTGGACTCGAGACAACAAAAGCTCAACTTCACAGCGAAGGGGCGACTGACTATCAATAAATAACTTCTCAGTTTAATTTAGAGTCAATTTCAACTTCAAAGCGAAGGATATTGGACTCGAGGCAACACAAGCTCAACTTCACAGCGAAGGGGCGACTGACTGTCAACAAAAAACTTTTCAGTTTCATTCAGAGTCAATTTTAACTTCACAGCGAAGGATATTAGACTCGAGACAACACAAGATTAACTTTACAGCGAAGGGGCGACTGACTGTCAACAAACAACTTTTCAGTTTTATTCAGATTCAATTTCAATTTCACAGCGAATGATATTTGACTCGAGACAACACAAGCTCAACTTCACAGCGAAGGGGTGACTGACTGTCAAAAAACAACTTTTTAGTTTCATTTAGAGTCAATTTCAATTTCACAGCGAATGATATTAGACTCGAGATAACACAAGCTCAACTTCACAACGAAGGGGCGACTGACTGTCACAAACAACTTTTCAATTTCATTCAGAGTCAATTTCAACTTCACAACGAAGGATATTGGACTCGAGACAACGCGAGCTCAACTTTACAGGGGCGGATGGTTGTCAACAAACAACTTTCCAGTTTCAGAGTCAATTTCAACTTCATGACGAAGGATATTGGCCTCGAAACATCACAAATATTTGGATTTCAACTTAACAACGAAGGATATCCAATTCGAGGCTCAACTTCACAACGAAGGGGTCATCCACGGTTTCAACTTCACGACAAAGGGAATCATGCCCACCAAAGGCCTTCGAGTTCGAGTACGCTCAGCTCCAAGGCACATCATTTGCAACATAGCTTAAGTCGAGAAGGGCTATCTGCCAAAGACCCTCGAGTTCGATTACACTCAGCTTCGAGGGCACATCATTTACAGCATAACTCAAGGCTAGAAGGGTTATCTGTCACTAAAGACCTTCGATTTCGACTACACTCAGCTCCAAGGCACATCATTTGCAGCATAGCTTAAGTCGAGAAGGGTTATCTGCCAACCGATGACCTTCGAGTTCGATTACACTCAGCTCAGAGGCAAACCAATTTTACAATATAGCTCAAGGCAAGAAGGGTTATCTATCAATAAATTGTCGAGTTCGATTCCATTCAGCTCGGTGACACCTCAATCACACTATTGTCCGATTGTAATCGAAGTTTTTCAAGTTGAGAAGAAGACACGGGTTAACCGTGCCTTAGTGACAGAAAGTCACTTTCCGGCAGTATAGCTTAAGTCGAGAAAAGCTATCTGTCAGCGAAGACCTTTCGAGTTCGATTTCATTCAGCTCGAGGGCCTATCAACCACACGGTGGAGTCAATGAACTACTTTCCAGTCGAATTTTTAAACTAAGGTCTTTAAACCGAGAAGAAGACCGAAGGGCAATGAGAAGCAACATTCCGATTCAAATTCCGAACTACAGCTTCAATTCCATATCATTTCAAGATGGACTCGACTTCACGACGGAGGAGCCATCTGCAACTCGACAGGGAGTTATTCTTCAACTCCACCGAACGAAAATTTGTGTCTTTTTATCTTTTTTCTATTTTTCGTTCCACGAAAAAGGACAAAGAGAGGTAGCTGTAGACACCTATTTTCGTCTGACCCTTTTGCATATATTATTATTATATTACATTTATATTTATATGGTATAACATACACATTATATTGTGTAGTACGCATGATATTACACTATATAGTATTATATTAAATAATATTATATTTTATAATATTAAAACTTTTTCTTTTTTGTTTTGCTAGGCCCACACGCAATCCACTACTAACACACACTACTCCACTAAACTCACATGGCACCATAAATCAAGAGGGAAGTGGGGGTTCGGTTTCCAGTAAAGAAAAAGGGAAGAAATGGAGAATGGGGGCCACCATTTTTGGCTTTATTAATGGATGCATATCTTTGTTTCTTTTTTCCAGGGGAGGGGGAGTCAAAGTAAACGTTTGCTGCCAATAAACAGAAGAAAAAGAGAGGGGGGAGGCAGCAGATCGAGGGGGAAGGAGGCAACAAGCTTTACCCTGACTACTCTGCAACAAGAACCAATTTTTTTACCTCTTTGATTTCTTCTTTCCCACCAAAATTTTCCATTTCTGGGTTCATTCTCATACCAACTCTAAACAAGGGTCCCCACATTCCTTTTTTTTGTTATATTTCCACACACAAATTCTGGAAAAAAATAGAAAACATACAATCATAGATCAACAAGAGGAAAAGAGGGTTCTTTCTTTAATCTGGAGAAAAAAATACCGAGACATCTAAACTTGGATCAAACTAGCATTCGATGGAGGATTTCTGAACTTGAAGAAGGTGTTAACCCAAAAGTGATCTTACAAATTTGGTGGAAACGATGCATACAATTATGCAGCTCATGGAGAATCTTCAAGCACGTGGCTCATTAAGAATTTCTTCGGGATTGAGTGTTGTTGAGGCGACGAGTTTTGTCTCACCAAAATGGTTCGTACTGGAAGTAAATTTCGAACCATTCAGCTGAATCATCTAACTGTTGGACATACCAGCGGCTTTACTGGAAATGCTAGTTTGCATGGCTTCATCTACGTGATTTTCTTGCATAGATATCTTGCTTGTGCTCGCTGCTCGAATACTGGCTCTCTTGTTCTTATTGAACCAGTCTCGACGGTTATGGTGGAGACATGTCATTATCAACACCCAAACAGAAGAGATGCATTTACATGCTGGCCATCAAATACTGGTGTCGAACAATTCAATTATGGGAAGAGAATTGATCATATTCTATGTGTCGGGCCTTGCACACATGGGGAGCATGATGTGGAGGGACATAATTTGGTAACCTGCCATGTAAAGGAGTGCGATATCTTGACAGAATACAAAACATGGAAACCAGGAAATATGCCAAGGTTTTCTTTATTATTTTATTACTTTTAAAATGTTAAATTTTTTTATTTTATTCCTTTTCCATTTGATTATTTATTATTTCTTATCTAATATTTTTTATTTTTTTAGAGAAATTTCAATCGATCAAAGGTAATTATTTGAATCAAACGTTTTAAATTTTAATTTTTGCAAATAAAGACAACCGCCAAATTAATTGGTACCGAAAAGGCGGTTCAAGGGTACTAATCCTTCCTTGGTCGTAACTGACTCCCGAACCCGACACATTTCTGGTAAAATGCAGAACATGTAAGAAATAAGGTATCTGATCAACTCATTTGCTTTAAAATAAATTATCGATAGCGACTCTAATTCGTTTAATCCAAGTCAGAGCCCATTTCTGGTCCCAACCGAAAGACGGTTCCGACAGTAGGTATAGGGTTAATGCAAACTTGGTTTATAGAGGTGGTGAGCGATTTGATGTTGATGGTAATGATGGAGATGATGATAGTCGATGGATAGTTGTCCTATGATCCCTTCTAATCGCAATTGACTAGGTAAACTCGATAATCGCCTCTAACCACCCCTCCCAATCTCAATGAAAAGGCAAACCAGAGTGTGAAGATCTCCCTCCCGAAGAACTTGAAAGAACTTAACAGTGAATAATGTTTCAAAGGCACAAGTCAATCAACACTAGTAAAAACAAACTCTCGTTGTATTATATTTAAGAAAAGATGTGTTTACAATGGTGGGAGGAGCCTCCTTTATATAGGGTTAGGAATCCGTGTTGCTAAGTAACTAATGATTAAAATAAAAAAATAAAAAAAAATATGCTAATCTATGTGATGTTGGAAGAATTAATGTGAGCCCTTGATGTAGTGCATGATCCAATGGTGGAGATGAAAACTATGAATACTTTGAATGTATGGATTGGTCCTCAGCCGTTGGATGTGATGAATGGTCTAGATTAAGCTTCTGGAAGGTGGCGGCTTGGAGAATAAGATGGTGACTACTAGGGTTTTGTAATTACAAGAACATTACCTTTCTAACCCTAACTTAAATTATTCCCAAGATAAAAATATTGAAAATTCGTAATATTTACAAAATCTCGTATTAATCCCGTATATGAATTTTTGCATGTGTTGTCTTCATTAAAATGGATGTATCTTGAGTTCCCAATATCAGATTGATGAGATTCAAGAACCGTTGGAAAGCTAAGAGATAGACGGTCGTATCTCCAGTAGACATGTTGAACAAATAACACTGGATCCCATTCAAAAAGTCATATTTATTTTGTTGTTGTTCTTGTCTTTTCCACAACTTGGTCTTGTGGAACAATTAGAAGCGTTAATCCATATTCTTTTGATGTGAGTATTGAGGTGCATGTATCATTGGAGAATCTGTTAGGTGACCTTAATAGTTAAATACAATATTATTTTTTCTAAAAATTTTAAGTTTGAGCAGTTGCGCCTCTAAGATGTGTGTGATTGTCATTAATGATTAAGGAAGATTATTAGATACTATCATGTAATCAATCCAAATTATTTAAAAAAATAAATAAAATTATAGTTAGGGGGACAAAGGTTGGTGGCAGTCACGATTATGGTTAGAGTAAAGCTTCATTTGAGATCGTCGTTGCACCGAAACTCAAGCCATAGCACCACCGCAGAAGGTGGCATGGGCACTCTGCAAACCTCCATTTTCTGAATTATAAATATAATATTAAATAACGACTTTGATATGACAACATGCAAGGAAATCTGGGAATATGAATACAAGCAAGAAGGAAGGATTTCGTTCTTTAATAAAAGAAAAAAGAAAACAGCTGATGAAACCGTAACTCACAGCTAATGAAACTCGTGGAAATGATTTTAGGCAAGCACCCTATAAGTCTATAACTCGAACCCTACCGTCACTAAAACTAGAAACCACAAAATCTTTGATTTCACAAGGGAAGGACCGATCCCTGGATTTCACTTTGTTTGGATAACAATATTCCACCAGAAGAGAAAGATCTTTTCATTGAAACAGCCCCCTTGGATAAAGATCGCCCCATCGAAGAGCTTTTCATCAGCTTGCATATGCTTGAACTTCCACTGCTTCGTTTCACACCGATCTTTCCGTTCCAATACTTCGACTGCTCTAATTCAGCGTCAAAGCTACCACAATATTTAAGCTCTCCGGTTGCTTCACGAGCTATTTCCATGGCACAAGTTAAATCCAATGAAACCGACCTCCTCGCTTGAATTCCATCTTCAATCGGACAGGTTCTCAGTTCCTCATTAGTTCTGTCTTCTCGGATATCGTTTTCGACCAGGGCTTCGTTGCTCGAACCTGAACCGATGGAATTAGGTTCCAACGCACTGGTTTGAACAGCCATGGCATCCGAAACAACGGGGGCTCGACACAACGGGCAGTTTTGGTGCGACTTTAACCAAGTATCGATACAAGGCAGGTGGAAACCATGGGTGCACTTTGGCAAAAGCCTAAGGCTTTCATCTTCACGGAACTCATTCAAGCAAACAGAACATTCAGTCCCTTCAATCAATCCTTCATCTTTTTTATACTTAAAAACTGCAATCGAATCGATGACTGATTGTTGGAGACCGATCGTGTTGGTGTACCATATGGGGTTATCTAAATATGACATTATTTGATCTTCAGCGAGGAAAAAATCATCTCGAGAACTGAAGAAAATAACTGGTAAACTTCGTCTCCTAGATTTAAAATAGAATCTAACAAGTGCAAAGGACATACAGAGAATAAGAGCCGAACATAGCATGCCTCCCATGATTGTCATTCCAGTGGCCAACAAGCTGTCCTCCTTATGGTTCAGAGTAGGAAGTAGTACTGGCGGTGGCACTTGTGACAGAAAACAGGAAGGTGGAAGATGGTTGTCTCTAGAATATGTATTACATGGTTGTTTTGGTTTAGGTCCATCATCAAACATTGTGAGAAAAACAGAGGAAAATGATAGCCAAGGGAGAATTTGCTCTTGTTTTAATTTGTGTTTTGTGGATTATCAGTCCTCCGTCAGTGGTGTGAGCTTGAAGTGTGGGTTATTTATTTTCCACAAATTTCATGTAAACTCATGAGATTTGAGACATTTGGTTTTCCATGAAAGAAAGACTACCTTAGCGTGTATGCATCTACTGGGTAGCTTCGTTTTTGTCCATGTCCGTTGACTCTTTGTGGTCAAGCACGCGTAAATGTTAACGTAATGAAGGGTTCATGGAAAACAACAAAACCCCATCCCATCAAATTTAAATGGTGGATTGGTACCTTTGCCTGCCCTTCAATCAAAGCCTACTAAGATTTTTTTTGACACTTTCACTGTGTATAATGGAGAAGAACTGGAAAGGAAAAATGAGGGGGAAAACACCAATTCCCTTGTTTGGAAGATAATACTACTCACAATATTAGATGTAATACGAAACCATTTTTTTTATGTAGTTTTGTCAAAAAAATTCTTTACTTATTAACAACGTATATACATTCAGGGAAGAATTTAGGGGAGCAATCACATTCCTAAAAATATAAAACTACCATATATTTTAAATTTTTTAATATATTTTTCATTGAAAATTTGCTTTTGCCCCCTAAAATTTTATACATTCAAATTCACCCCCTTAAATTTTATAAGTTCAACTTTATCCCTATCTTAAAATCCTACGCCCATCTTTGTATTTACCTATATAGAGTGTACATAAATTTATATTGTCTAAAATTTAAATGTGTATATACAAAATCATATACTAAAGTCGACTTCTTCTTTTTTGAGGTTTTCCGTAAATTCTAATGATCTATTTCAAAGTTTTAAACATGGAAGAGATTCATTTGTGTTAAGATATGGTTGAGTTCTTATAACGAGTTATTGGTACTTGGTTAGACAAGTGCAAATTAGTGACCGTGCTTGGCAACTCGGCTCCTTAATTAATGGAGGTTTGATCGATATGCACGAACTCTGTAAACTGTTTTGTAAAAGTTTTTATGTTGTTAACATATATATATATGTCTACATACTTTGAAAAATATGTTTGATCCGCCTCTGGCTTCATCAATGTTCTACTTGTTTCTTTCGCTGGCTCAAGGCTATGTGACCGTCGATGAGGTAGAGAGACAGCTTTCCTGTACACACGAACGTGCTATTGATGCCATTGATACTTTATTAGATGTAAGTTCTTGCAACGACAGTAATGTATATCATCTTACTCTAGCATTTAGATTTGCAGGGTTTACATAATCCATGTTGTTAGATGCAGGAAAATCTTGCGATGATCGATGATGATCATAGAGATGGAAACGTCAATTAATTACTCAACACATATAATGATATAGTCACAAATAGACCGAGGGGCGGGTGGAGTCAGGCGATCCTAAGTATTTAAAATTATTATATATTTTACTTTTTTTCTATTTATTTCTATTGAAAATCAGTTTTGGCCCCACTATTTAAGTTAACCTCTAAAATTTTAAAAATTCAAATTCATCTTCTTATATAAAATCCTACGTCAGTCTCTAGATATATGTATAAAGTGATGTTTCATATAGATAGCATGGAGTACCGACAAATCCTATGTCCGACTCCACAGAAAAATGCAAGCTGTAACAACAATGCCAAACACCAAAAAAAGATTATAGTCCAGGCTAATATGATTATAACATAAGTTTTTATCTAAAATAATTTATATTTTTTATTTAAAACATAATAACAATTATATATATATATGTGCGTGTTTTAAAAATAAAGGAGAGATATGGGAGAGAAAAGAGAGACATATGTATATATACTTATTTCAATATTTGATGAGTACATGAACCCCCGAGACACACACATATATATAGGGGGTGATGAATGCTCTCAAATAATTATGATACATGTGAAGAGTTAAGTCTTTTGTCATTTCATCTTCTCAATTAATTGAAGAATGCTAAAAGTCACATTAACTAATAGGAGTAATAATGCATCCACATAATATATTCATAACACTCCCCCTTGGATGTCTATTATCAAATTGTGCCTCATTAAAACTTTACTGAGAAATATTCAGTGGGAAAAAACCTAGTGAAAAAAAGAGTACATAATTATAAGCTTGACACACTGCCTTATTGAAAACATTTCCTAGAAAACCCAGTTGGATAAAACCAAGGTTAAGGGAAAAATAGTACAACGTGTATTTACTCCCCCTAATGGCTACATCACTTGAGATCTCTATGGTGATGCATTCCAATATAGTGTAATAGCTTCAGAAACACAGATGTGGGAAATGCCATAGTGAATAAATCTGCCAAATTCTCACTTGAATCGATCTGATTAACCTTTATCTCTTCAAGTTTCTGAAGGTCATGAATGAAAAAGAATTTAGGTGCAATGTGCTTTGTTCTATCACCTTTGATGTATCCACTCTTGAGTTGTTCAATGCATGTTGTATTATCTTCAAACAAGATAGTTGCAACTTATTTTTCAGATGATAAACCACAATTATTATGTATGTGCTGAATCATAGATCTTAGTCGTACACATTCACAACTAGTTTCATAGATTGCTAAGATTTCTACATAGTCTCAATATGATATCCATTTTGGCGAATATCTTTAGAACTCAATAAATTTCTTTGAGAATTGGGAGAAATAACTCATCAATGATTTCAAACCTTGTTGCCCTTGGCAATATTATATTTGCTCTTCCAGAACCTTCTACAATGTATTTACTACCAGATATAGTGCTCACACTTCCTTCTTTTATTATTAAGTAAGAAAAATATCTCTTATCTTTGAGTATGGTGTGAGTAGTTGCACAATCTGCTAGACATAAATCTTCATCATTCAATGCTAATTTCCTAGATTTAATCCATTTAATATATTTTTCTAGATCTAATTCATATATATATATATATGAGAAAATCGCCTCAGTGACCAAAAAAAAGTTATAATATACGATTTTAACCAACTTTTTTTGGATTTGCCAAAATGACCAACAAAATCGCAACGCGAAATAAAAATCGCAACGCGATCCCCAGAATCGCAAATCAGTTTCCAAAATCGCAACGCGATTCTTGAAAATCGCAATGCGATAGTACAAATTCGCATTGCGATTTTCCAAAATCGCAACGCGAATATGAAAATCGCAACGCGAACACATAAATCGCAACGCGTATCCGTAAATCGCAACGTGTATCCGTATATCGCAACGCGTATCCGTAAATCGCAACGATAATACATAAAATCGCAACGCGTATCCGTAAATCGCAACGCGATATTTAAAGCGCCATTATAATCGCTACGCGTATTTTATTTTCAAATTACAAAAACCAATATTAAGACAAAATCCCGTAATCGCAACTCATAACCTAAAACCTAAAATCACAACTCAGTCCCATCTCCATCTCTCACTCTCTACGACGAAGAAATCCGTCCCCATCTCCGAAGATTTCCGTCCCCATCTCCGGCGAAATCCCTCACAACCATTCACGGTCAGAAATCCCTCACAATATTCAGAAATGGAAAATCAACCTCCGAGGGTTAGTTTTTTTAATTATTTTTATTTTGAAATGTTTGCATTATTGTAGGTTTTTCATATTGAACTGATGATAAGTTTACTGGTCATTTCAATAATAGATTAACCATTTCACTTAGATTTCATTTCGCGTTACGATTCTGTCGTTGCGATTTTCATTTCGCGTTGCTATTCTCTCGTTGCGATTTTCAAGTTAGTATTTGTCTTTGTCTTTGTTCTGTCTTTTTGTTGAAGTAATGCAATCCATTCAAGTTTCAATTTGCAGAAGAGTCGCAACGAGATAAATGAAAATCGCAACGAGAGAATGACTGTCGCAACGAGAGAAATGAAAATCGCAACGAGAGAATCGCAACGCGAAATGAAAATCGCAACGAGAGAATCGCAACGCGAAACCAAAATCGCATTGCGATTTTCATTTCGCGTTGCGATTCTCTCGTTGCGATTTTCATTTCGCGTTGCGATTCTCTAGTTGCGATTTTCATTTCGCGTTGCGATTCTCTCGTTGCGATTTTCATTTCAACCAAAAGACAAAACAGTGTTGCAAATTTTAGTTTCAAGAATAAACTACTACTTTTTATGTTTATTGTTTTTGGTATATCTTCACAGTGTAGTTTTTGGTATATCTAACTTGGTATGTTTATTGTTTTTGTAAAAAAAAATTTCGGCTCAATTGACCTTGAGAAATAAAGTCAGCCTGGCCACTACAATTGCTTCGAAGCTTTCACCTGCTCAAAGACAATTGTTTGAGGAAACCTGCTTCGGGCCATGGCTGAGAGTACAACATCCGGGTGGAGATGCTAATTTGACCCATTTGTGGCTTCAGACCATGACATCAAATCTACCCGACAGTATACAACGTGGTGAGGAAGAGATATGGTTTCATTTTCCACCAGCGTATACTTGTTTTGGGCGGAAGGAGTTCTGCTTAATCACTGGTCTACGATTCGGACACGATGATGTAGGCCGGTACACTCGTCATATCGCCCGCCCATCATGGTTATCCCGGGTTTTTCCGGATGAGTCAATGGAGAAGCCGAACCTACATGTCGACGACCTGAAGAAATTGTTTAATAAGAAAGCTGGTTTCACTCGGATGGATGACGTCGATGTTGTCCGAGTATGCCTTCTACTACTTGTGTATGCCGGCTTTTTAGGCAGAGAGGCCAGACAACCTATTCATCGGGAGCTAATAATATTGGTAGAGGACCTGAATGCATGGAATCTGTTTCCGTGGGGTTCGTATATATGGAAAGCTACCTGGACTAAGTTGTCGTCTGCCTTTGATGACCGCAAAAGTTTGCGGGGCGATGAGTCCAAATACACTTTGTCAGGCTTTGTTTGGGCCTTTAAGGTAAGAATTTCTATATAATGTTTCTAAAATTATAATTAATTATTTAACAATTACTAATTTTGTTATTATATTGTTTGTAGATTTGGATATTCGAGGCTTTCCCCAGCATGCGTACATATGCAATAAAAACGTCAAATGATATTCCCAGGGCTATTTCCTGGAAGAGGAAAACTCTGTTGGATTGGGAAGACTTAATACCATATGCGACAATAAATA